TCGAATTGGGGAAAATACTTGTCTACAGATTTTTCTTGAAATTTCGGAACTAACCTAATATTTTTTGCTGCATCAAATTCATTCCTGACAAATGAGGGTTCTGAATTCTGCTGTAATCTTAATTTCTCTAACTCAAAGTGCTCTTGTCTTTCTAATTTGTCTAATTCAAATTTCCGTTCACGCTCTCGTTCTTCTCTTTCTCTTTCTCGTTCTTCCCTTTCTCTTTCTCGATCTTCTCTTTCTAATTTTTCTCTTTCTTATCGCATTTTCTCTAACTCTAATTGAAACTGATAGTCTGCCATTTTATAAGAGCCTAACTCTGATCTAACTGTATATTCTGGAAGTTCGTATTTTTCAAAGATGTTTTCATCTACAAGTTTGTTTGCAACCTTAATTCTAATGTCTTGCTTTCTCTGTGAGGATTTAACTTCTAACCCAAAATGCATACCTAATGCGATCAAGTCATCCTTTTTTAACGAATCAAAAACCTGAACACTTGGTGAACTTAGAAAGTCTGTGACCGAAAACACCATGTTGATTTCTGCTGGCTTATAATCAAATTTAACGGTTCAATAAACAAAATTTTGACAATAAACTGCAAAAGTGCAAAAAAAAATTCTTTATCCCGGACGAGCCCCCAATTCTGTTATGGGTGAGAATAACCCTAAATGCCAGCAAAGATCAATCACACAGTTTAAACTTAACAATAATTTATTTACAGTAATATACAAATCATTAAGTACAAACTTAGCAAAAATCTAAAAAATACATACATCAGAGTGTCCGTTGCTGCACACAATGTCCCAGTGAAATTATATCCCAGTAATACGTACCTCAATGATGCTTGTAAGACAATCGTATCTATGCATCGAATTGACAGGATATTTATACAGTATCATCAATCTAGAATATTCTAGAAGTTGTAAGTACATGATATTACTGGAAAGTTCTGGACATACACAAAGTTCAAGAATGTTCTAGAAAATTACCTAACATATTGACCACTCTGGAATGTTCAAGAAACTTAATGTTACTAATAATATACATGATGAAATAATACAAATACAACACATCTCACAACACGCCCAATCATAATTCAATAGTAATTGAGGTTTTGAAAAGGATTTTTAGTTATTTTTTACATATTATTTTGTTTCTTATTTATTCCATCAGCATCTAAACCCCAAGGCCAAGGTTTGAATTGTAACAAATTTTAAAAATAAAAGGTGATCTTTAATTAAGGCCATCCTTAAAAAAATGTTTGTTTGGAATTGCCGCCTGGGGGTTTTCACACTCAGGAGGGAGGGAGGGATTTTATTATTTTTTTTTTTTACAAATTGAAGCTAAATGATAAAAAAAATAAAATCTCAATGAACAGTGGTAATATCCATTTATTATCCTCTTTCTTTTATTTTATTAATATTATTTGGTCCGATTTTGAAAAAAAAAGATATACACAGAATGGTACTCAAATATTCATCTCATTTAGATGTTAAGATCTGTTCATTTATTAATAGTTAAATTTCAGCACCAAACTTCTGGTTTATTTTAAGAATCTTTATTACACAATACTTTTATCAGTCTATTTCGTAATATTTCTCTTTGAAATTTACCCCTTTGTTAAGACAACGCTTGCAAACAGTTTGAACCACACAAAATTTCTTAGGAATAGTTGGGATGTTTTGTGGAAAACCGGGACGGGGTGCTTGGTGCGTTCTCGAGTTTTCACCATGCATCAGTTTTCACATTACGTTTCAAAGACTTGTCATACTGACAGACAACATTTTTCCTTTATTATTTGGGATAGAACGTTTCTGATCCATGTAATTTTTAAAGTGGGAACTGAACGATCATTTTTTTTTCAACATGACGGACTTAACTTATCAAGTTCAATGTGCAATCTATTACAATAGCTCTTTCAAGATATCGATGATTCATTCCATTTAATTTTTTATTCATCTTTTATCTTTATAGAGATGCATAAATGTTCTACTCTTCAACGAAACGCTTAAATGTTTCCAACATGGTCTGACATTTTGGCGGCTTTTATTTTGTCAAATCGCCACCTATAATCGCTATTTCATAAATACTATGAAGAAAGCGTTTTATTGACCCGAGTTGTTAAGTTAATGTGAGCTCAAACCCGACTTTGAAAAACTATTTTGACGAACGAACTAACTTGTACTAAACAATGTAAGACGATATTTAAAACGATAAAAAAAATATTGTTAATATTTTGCCAATAAAATTTTTTGAGCGGGGGGTATTTTAATGAGGCGGGCGGCAATTCCAAACAAACTATAATTTTATTTTGGCCTAACAGTAAGTATTTAATTAAAATGAATTTATTAGACATTTTAATTGGGCCTAAATAAATAAGTAGTGTGTTTTCAGCATGTTCAGTTCCCCGCCTAACTCTAAGAAATATAGGAGCCGGCCCTCAATATTTTTCTGCTAATATCTTTCCATTCAGTAAACTACTGTATGTATACTTTAAAATGCAGGCTTCATATTTTAGCAGCTTTGGTGCAGACAACAATGCACTAATTCACGAATACCGCTAAGAAATCATTTACATATTGATATATACAATACACCGCACATACATGTGTAGCGCTAATTTATAATTATTATGCCAACCCAGTGATTATGCTAAATTTTGAAAGCACCAAATTATATACACATATTACAGTATTCCAGTTTACAATTAGAAATGAAATCCCAATCTTGATCACTTCCATGTTCATGATGTTTGAGAAATGCATATCTTACACATATTAATCAGAAATATTTTGACAGTGAAATCCTGGGGGAAAGTGGCAGCGTGCCTCCCAATAAAATGTTAAAATAAAATAAAAATGTTTTTCCTACCTACCTACCCTATCTTTCCTAAGGTTAAAATAGGAAACACTATTTTTTTATCTTGGCCTTAGCAAAATAAAAAAAAATACTTATAATACATCGATAATGATGGTCTAAAATCATGAAAATATTTTCAGTAGGGCAATCAGGATGAATGTAGAACAGGGTGCAGGTGAAAGATAATGAAGGCAAATGGACACTATGCAAACCAACGCATGCGAATAAATATATACAAGTAGGAAGAATGACTTGATAAAAAAAGATAGCTAAATCAAGCTTTTTTTGGAAGAATTAAACATGTTAAATACCTTGTCTAACCAAGCTAAGAAATTTTAGCTACGTAAATCTATAAATGTACCGATTTCAATGGACCTTTTGAAAAGGTGGAGTTCTCTGTGATACATTTCTGACACTGAGTCAGTGTGTGACTGACACCGTTTATTAATACACGTACAGTTTAAGTCAGATTAACTTTTACAATTACAGCAAAATACGAAATGGCGGTTAAATTTTCAATAGCCTGCCGGATAGCTCAATAGGGTATTTAATTTGGTCTACCAAGTATCACATTAGGTTTGAATCTAGGTCACAAGGTTACTCAGGTGTATCATTAGATTTTACAGGTAAATGTGAGTTGATTTCAATGTTGTATGAAGCCACATGTATGTGCCAAAGTGCATGCAATACTTTCTTTAATTGCAAATACTTCTTGCAGAATTAGTGAATGACAGCCCCCCTTTTCCATTCTTACAAAAGGTATTGTTAAAAAAGTCAGGACAAAGTTAGCTCCCCACTTTTCCCACTTTATGGATTATACATAAACAGCCTAAACAGGCACATAAACTGAATAATATCATAAATACTTGGAATGATATAAAGAGCACATATAAAATGTATTAAATTAATTATGATGATTATTTCTACACCCATCAAATTTCTCTATTCATATCTGTTACTCTCTGAAAAACTGAAATTTGAATTGATAAAGGGCTTGTTTTACAAAAGAAATTATGGCTAAGACTAGGTACTCTTGCTATTTATTCTATTCTTTACCATATTCAATTCTTATTTTATTCTTTCATATTTTAAAAAATAACATAGAGGCAAATTAATTAAAGGCATATCATAATTAGGGAATTCTTCACTGCTATGAGAGTTAAAAACTTTCAGTTATATATATTAGGGATGGCAATCGATTGCAGAATTGCTAATCTGTTAACTGCAAAACATTCCGACCAATTAACCGGTTAGTCGTATCGAGATATACATTTTGACATTTTCTTTTCATACACACAAGATAACTTAAAAGACGTTAGAAGTTACATTCTGTTTATTATTTTGATCAGGGAATTTTATGTACATGAGAGTATATATTATTTTAATTTTAATAGACAAGAAAAAATTAAGAAAACCATGAATCTTGCTTGAGAAATCAGACAAGGATAATCTTCCAACGCAGATGTTAAAGCTAATTCTGCATTGTCACCATAATTAGAACTATGTCTGAACTCTTACTTTATTTAAAAGTTACAACATTCTTTACAGAAATATGATTTAATAGATAACGGCAAAATATAGACATACCTTAATTAAAAGTGCTTAACGGTGATGTTTTTAATATCATTAAAAAACCACGGGACTATTTGGGTAACGGCTTGATGTTTTAAAAACAGTCATTAAAACCTTATGAATTGACCAATTACCCCTGCGATCTCAGTTCTGAGAGTTATAATTACCTCCAAATAATTTGAATTATAAGACGTGTAAAAACACTAAATAAACATCTATGCAGCGCTTTCCTTTCTTAAAAACAGAAGGGATTTTAAGGAAACTGCGCTCAAATTTACATATTTTTTATTTTTTCTGACTAACTGATTACGGATTTTCTAAGCGATTAGCTACGTTCCGACCGATTAATCGATTGACCGGTTACAAACTGCCATCCCTAATATATATTAATTATTTTTAAACCTATATTAATAAATCTAGCAAAACTATAAAATCAAAAATCATGGATGATGAGATTTTGATGTACAACAAATAGTGTACTCAAATGTATTTGAATGCTGGATTAAGCAATGTTAAGCAGTTTAATCTAAAACATGGGTGCTGGTGCTATTGTTTACTAACATTTGTCTAAAAGAGAAATTTTCCCTTACCAAAATGAAATGTTTGCTGCAAGTTTGCGGCAAGCTTGCAGCAAGTTTGCGGCAAACAAATCTATGTACCAGAACAGTATGCCAGAAGTGTGCAGTAAATGCAGCTAGCAGCACACAGTATGCCACTTGCGGTTCATTGTGTGCTGCTAGGGGCACATATGTACTTCTAGCGGCACATTAAATGATCTGATGCACATATGTGCCAGAAGTATGCCACAATTTTCCCTTAGATGCCTTCTATTTATATAGTGTGCCAGAAGTGTACCAGAAATGTTTCTTTTAACTATCAAAATCATTGTGTGCCAAAAGTGTGCCATAAAGATTTAGGAACGACTTGTCTGTTGCGTTACAGACCTATCTAAGAACGGCTTATCAGTTCACATCCGGTTTAGAAGTTTGCGCCAATTTTAAACCACCTGGGTCATGACTCATGACAAGAACAAAGAGAAAGGAGAAAACAGCAACATAGACCGTGGATAAAGAGAGAATGTGAGTATTTTAAAAAAAATTGTATAACACTGATGTCTTTTTAACATAGAAATAAGACTTGACTGTATTTGCTGAGGCAGTTAGAATTTTTACAGTCCTTGTTCATAACAAATTGGGTCGATATAGAATATGTTTTTATTTTTTGTTCTATCCAGATGGACTGATGATGAATCAGTAAACGGCTCCACAAAGAATAGATCAGAAGGGCATTTATCTGCAGGAAAGGATTCTGCTAACTAAGAGATGGACTAAAAGTAAGTAATCACAATTAAGAATTATAGGTCCATATAAATGTTTGTCATATAAACAAATAAACAAATGATAAACTACACTTTACATTATATAATTTGTCAAAGAAGCATGTAGTTTTATTTAACGAAGTGTTGTTTTTGAATCCTTGTTTGTCAATCTATCCTGAAATGCCATTTAATATGATTTTAATGCACACAAAACAAGATACAAATGTGGGATCTCTAGGTCAAAATTAGGGTTAATTCATTGCTTAAATAACTATTGGTTTCAATGACTGCAATGCGAGTAATTTCTCTCTATCTTTTTAACAGGTACTTGCATAATGTTGGAAAGGAAGCCCCCCCCCCCCCACCCCCCCAATCATGAAAAGTTAGTTGAAATGTTAGAGTGAACTTGAAGTACTGTACCAAGAAAGTAGTTAATAAATATTCCTATCAAATGTGTCGCCCGCATGGTTAGAGCGTCTGCTCTCGAGTCACGAAGTAAGGAGTTGAATTCCACTGTGGATCCTTCGGATGAGACTGTATAAACTGAGGTCCCATGTTGCAGTAGGTGATGATCAAAAAAGATCCTCCCTGCTCAATGGCCCTGAGTGCCAATTAATGTAGTATAGGACAAAATTTGCAGCTCTCCCACGGCAGATGTTGGCATCTCCATATAAGTGAAAAATTCTCATGAGGGACTTTAAACAATATACAATCAATCAATTAATGGAAAATGCAACAGATGAGGACACTCTTTCAACATGACATGGATTCTTCAAGGGGATTATGTTGTTGTTGTTTTAAAAGTGATAGAATCAAGACACTGAACAAAATGGTCGCCTTTACTGTGTAAATAATATTGTGAGATTTAATTTGTCAAAATACTTTAGATGTTTATTCATATCATGCAGCACTATTTACTTTGATATGTGCAGTTGAAATTCATTGTAAGAGGTGAATCTTTTCTTTGATGTAAAATGTTTTGTGATTGTTGTTAACTACAAATCCTCTATTCATTTTGCATAATGACCAATGTAAATTTGTGCCATTATTTTACTCAAAGGTTGTGAATTTATTTTTTTTAATCTGTTTCTTTCTCTATCTGACGTATACAGTGTAACTGTTCAATCAACAGATTTTGTTCCGTACTGTGCAAGTTTTTTTTACACATTAATATTATAGTTAGTGTTATATATACATGTACCTTTTTACCTTGAAATTTTCATAAATAATTTTTAAAATGGCTTAAATGTTCTTTTTTTTTTATAGTACATGTATTACATGTTGCTGTCATGTTTAATCACGTTCTTTTAAAATAAATTTGTTTAGGTAAAGTATATTAGCTTATGGAATTGTATATGCAGAAATGTGCCACAAGTGTGTGCCACAAATTTGCAGTTAACTATATGCCAGAAATGTGCCGCAAGTGTGTGCCACAAACTTGCAGTAAACTATATGCCAGAAATGTGCCGCAAGTGTGTGCCACAAACTTGCAGCTAAGTGCATAATGTAAGGATTTGAAATGTTTGCCGCAAATGTGCCAGAACTTTGCCGCAAATATGCCGCAAACTGTGTGCCAGAAAAAAATTTGCATACGAAAAATCTATTTGCGGCAAGTTTGCCGCAAATATTTGCCGCAAGGTTGCGGCAACTTTGCCGTAAACTTGCTGCAACTATGTGCCAGAAGGCTTTTATTTTGGTAAGGGTTACCCTGTAATATGAAATTACTTGTATGTTAATTATGAAAATAGATTACAATGGGTTTTTATGATGGAAGTGACAAGACTTGATAGCAATTAGAAGTGTGCAGAATATATATTCATTATTGAAGTGCTGGAATACAATTTTACTGAAAAAAATATTTCAATTAAAGAAAAGTATTGCATGTATTTACAGCATAAAACTTAAGCACATACATGTGGCTTCATACAACATTGAAATCAGCTCACATTTACCTGTAAAAACCAATGATACACCTGAGTAACCTTGTGACCTAGATTCAAACCTAATGTGATACTTGGTAGACCAAATTAAATACCCTATTGAGCTATCCAGCAGGCTATTGAAAATTTAACCGCCATTTCGTATTTTGCTGTAATTAGCCCACACAGGCCTCACTAAACAGCTAAGGACCAGACAGTCGCACCGTCTAGCATAATTTGTATTACTCCAGCATGCTAGAGGGCATGAGGAGGATAGGCACATGTTTCACAAAAAATGGGGACAAGCCTTAAACGCTTACCATATCCCGGGGGTGCTGAATTCATATAAATCTGTAGTTTGTTTATACAGGATAGCCATTAGGCCTATAAACATGATACAATTAAAAAAAAATAACCGAGGTCTAGGTCGGGTCAAACTTTCCCAAAGTTTTACGTGCATTCATTATTAAATGTTAGGGTCTTTACGAACGTCTGTAAGAAATAACTGCATGCATGATTTACGTAGTTAAATAAGTTTTCAGCCTATAATATCTTTTAAATATGATAAAAAATCTACTTACCACATATTCTCGGAGCAGCCATTGCCCGCAATAAATTGGTATCATATGGGGTCCAGTTTAAATTCCACTGCGTTCCGAATGAACATTTCCCAGCATCCTCAAACATTCGTTTTACGGTGCAGTGAGAAAATTACTGCGAGTCAATTTTACGGACTTATGGGGATTTTTTCAAAAATGACCACAAATCGAATAAATATTATCAGTAGAACACGTAGAATTCAAAAAACCCCATGACCATATTTGTGGGGAACGAGAGAGTTCCCCACAATTCTGAACTTTCCCCATAAGAAAGGTCTTTTGTCAGGTGTGAGTTCCCCACAAGTCGGTGAGCGCGAGTGCTCTCTCTCTCTCTCTCTCTCTCTGTGTTCTTCTCTTTCTCTTCTCCTTCTAAATTTGTCTCTACAATTTCTCTCCAGTGCAAGCAAGTCTTTGCTTCTGCTGTTCATGAATGGAAAGATCATATTCGAGACTGGGTGAGAATCTAAATCATGAAAGACAATTCTTTTGTGCATAATATTCATATGTATATCATATTCTTTTTTAGATAGTTTTATA